CAAGGCCCTTCGGCCTCGTGACCAGGGCCCGAGATCGGTTTTGGGGCAGCCTTAGGAATCAGGGTGGTATGATGATTTCATTCTGCTAGGTAAGGATGCTGGGGGCAAATTGGGCCACGAAATTCTTTTGTACCCTTATAAAATCAGGGTACACTCCAAAAAATGGTTGTTGGCAAGGGTAATCAGGGTGATATACCCTTGGATCACTGGCCCTGCTCGTCACCATCAGCAACTCTGTACTCAGCTTGGTCTAGTCCCTGTTGCCTCTCCCTTGCTTGTATCCTCATATGTGCTATACTGGTTTGGGACTCTCTGCTCTATACCGGTTGTCTTGTTACACTTGCTCAATGGCTTCTGTCCCTAATCTCAGTGGTCAAACTAGTAGTGTTGCCTTACGGAAGCCATCACGCTCAGCAGTTTGTTTTTACCAGATTTCAGTATGTGTTACCGTATCCACCCGGCACATAGAATCAAGAGGAAAACAACGAGAACGGCAAAAAACAACTCACCCTTGGGCGTGGTGAGGCTGATGCCGGTGTCGTCAAACCACTCCTGATACTCTCTCCGGACGTGAGCCTTGTAGGACTTGTTGACACACACGTCCAGCAGTTGAATGAGGCTGGTGCAGCTGGCGGGGATGACAGTGGGGATGATGCCTTGCTTCTGCAGCTCTGCCATCACCCGAGGAGTTAGATGTCCCTTGTAGCTGCCGAAGACGAGGATGGCTGTCTTTGCGCGACGCCCGATGGTTGGCTTCAGGTAAGGCTTCACCTCTTTCCGCAGCCATGTGAGCACTCCCTCATCGTCCATCCACCCATTGACCTGCGCACGCATGACAACATTGCCCAACATTCCGAACAAAAGCAGAGAGTTAACTTCTAAACATAGGCAAGCTGAGGTGAATAACAGAACTCTACAGCACAACCATTGTGAACAACAGCCACGGCAATTGGACAACTGACCTTTTGGGGAACTCTCCCTTCGACGGGTTCTTGCGCTTCAAAAACACCCACGGCTTGAGCGTCTTACCGCTGGCGGAACAACCCAGCATCACCGTCACGCATCTTTCTGGTAGCCGCAGGTGCATACAGGGACTGTTCGAGCGCCGACGTGGTCGATGGTCTGCTCGGAGGGCATCTCGAGCCAGAGGGGCATCTGGTCCACGTTCAGAATCCATGCGTCGTCCACTCCGTGCTCACACTGTTCCTGGCATACGAAGCGCCAGAAGCTCAGAACCTTGTCTTCGCAGTCTGTTGGATAGGGCGGGCATGAACATGATCAGCGCCTTGTTACTCTTAAGCTGTAACACGAAGGAATTAAGAATTCAATGCATCAACAAGGCATGCAAGTAGAAAACCATTATAACCATGAAGACCAGTAGTAGTGAGAGCCCATGGAACTAATCCTACGGAGGGGTGTATATTCGGGTGATTACGATATTAGTTCAACAATTATAGTGCTTTTACTTAGGCTGGATGCAGTGCGGTAAAGCTTGTTGCCCTCCGCCCTCCAGATCCACAACAGCATCGGTAGCACATTGCAGAATTTGGAGACCGCCTCGCCTCGAGCCAACTACTGGATCGCGATCAGGTCAGTCTTGCAAATTGCGTACTGCAGCCGCAAAAAGGCCTTGCGATGCATGTTGGACCGTCTGAGCTGTTCTGCTGTGGTTTTTATGACAAAGTCAACAAGTTCCGGATCCGGCATTGTTGACGCTGCATCCTTTGCAGCCAGCGCTACTCTGGAGATAGGGATGGAAAAGTATGATCGTATTAAGGGCAGAAAGTTGGGGATAAAAGGATTTCGTCATGGTGATAATTGGATTCCTTTGGTTGGGCTGGAGAATGCTATTGGATTCCGGTGGTCGGGCAGGAAATTTTTATGATGTCTATGAATCGCCACGTCACATCGTTACTTTCAACCTTCACTGAATCTTCCGCGCTTTCGCACCTGCAAACTCACGCATATGTCACATTACCGTCACATTTTGCCGTTCCCTGTTCCGCGATGCCACACTTGTTGGAGCTGTTCAAGGTTGGGTGCTAGCTGGGGCCCGGACACTCGTGCGAGACTGCGCAACGGGCAAGTGAATCATGTGCGAGTCAATAATTATGAGCGATGTGCGGGTGAGTCACACGTTAAGGTTATTCAGCTTCCTCCCCCCCCTCTCCCCCCTCTCCCCCCCCTCATCCCATACCTCCCCTCTCTTCCCTCCCCCCCCCACTTTCGTCCCCATCCCTTTTTCCTCCTCCGCCTTCCTCCATCTCCTCCTTCCTCCCTCCGCCTTCCTCCATCTCCTCCTTCCTCCCTCCCCCTTCCTCCATCTCCTCCTTCCTCCCTCTGCCTTCCTCCATCTCCTCCTTCCTCCCTCCGCCTTCCTCCATCTCCTCCTTCCTCCCTCCGCCTTCCTCCATCTCCTCCTTCCTCCCTCCACCTTCATCCGCCCCTCATCCTCATTGCACTGCTACTGCCTTCTTGCTTCGCCATCTCTACCGCACAGCGAACGCCCCTCCCTTCCTCTTTCCTCCTTTCCCAAACTCCCACCCTCACCTACTTGCGCCCTCCTCTAGCCCTTTTCCTGCACGTGATACCCTGTTGTGCTGCTCACGGAAGTCCGTCGTTGCTTCCTTTTGAGGTGCCTCACACCACCACCCCCCTCCTCCCAACACCCATTCCCCTCATCCTCACCACCCCCAACCCCGATATACCTCTTGAAGCCTCGGGCTGGAGTCCAATCGCTGAGGCCTTCCGCATCGACCCTCAGATCTCCGCCCCCCTTCCTCCCAATCGACTCTCAGATCTCCGCCTCCAATCAACTCTCAGATCTGTGCCCCAATCTCCCCCCAATCTACTCTCAGGTCTCCACCCCCCTTCCCTCCAATCAACCCTCAGATCTCTGCCCCCCTCCCCCCCAATCGACTCTCATATCTCCGCCCCCTTTCCCCCCAAACCCCACCTATACCCGTTCCTTCCTTTTCCCCTTCCCCGTATCCACCCTTCCCCTCTTCCCCAGCATCGCAGTGAACTCATGGAGTTGGGATTTTTGGAGGAAGGGGGGAATGCACAGCAGGCAGCGCGGAGGATGTATATGCAGATGATAACCAGTTCTCAGCTCTGTAGGGCGCCTGAGCTGCTGGTGGCGGTTGCCAGTCTGAAGCAAGTGCAGCTACACTAGCTGGGTGTGTCACATTGCTAGAATGCTACGGTACCTCATCAAAGGTCCTTTAGCCATGGATTTATGCAGAGAACCTTAATGTAGATATTCTATATTGCTTGAGATCCATTGCCTTATGTTGCATGTGTCTGGCATTTGAAACTGAGAAGACCTCGTCATGCGGCACGAGCACAGTAGAATATGCACTCTTAAATTGCACTTTCAGTACGTACAGACAGTGTAGGGTACATGGAATATGCACCTGACTAGTCGTAGGTACAATCAATCGAACCTAACGAAGGTTTTTTCTTGGCTTCCTCACCCCTGGTTTCTTCCCTGGTGGCTTTGGGGACTTTCTACTCCTCCCTTTACCCTTCCCCTTCTCCTTCCCCTTCCCCTTCCCTGCCTCTCTCCTAGCCTTCTCAGCTTCCTCCCTTTTCACCTTCTCCTCTGCCTCCCTCGCCTTCCTCTCCTCTTCCTCCTGCTTTTTCTTCTCTGCCGCCTCCCTTTTAGCCCTCTCTTTGTCCCTTGCCAGCTGCTTCCGCTCCTCCCACTGTCTCGCCTTCCTCTCTTTCTCTGTCTCCCTCCTCGTTACCTCAGTCACTACCTCCCCTTGCTTGCCTCCACTCGTGTTCCCCCTGCCCTTCTTTCCGTCCTCCTCCCCATCCTTCTTCCCTTCCTCCTCCCCATCCTTCTTCCCTTCCTCCTCCCCATCCTTCTTCCCTTCCTCCTCCCCATCCTTCTTCCCTTCCTTCTCCCCTCCCTTTTCCCCTCCTTTTCCAGCGCTCTCACTGCCAGTGTCACTATGCGACGATGACGTGGAGCCAGGTCCGGTCATAGGGTTACCATTGGCTGCTGTGGAGTTACCACTTGTGGAGACAGGGTTACCACGTGGTGCAGTGGAACTGTCAGCTCCTTTTGCAGACGCATCGGCAGCAGCAGCAGCAAACGCAGCATCAGCAGCAGCCTCGGCCTCTTTCTGAATCTTCGCCCATTCGTCAAGTTCTGAACACAAGGCAAACACAATGAGCAAGAAGCAAAAAGAGAGACTCTCAGATGGGTAAAGTCCAGCCTGATGGCACGTGAAGCCAAACAGCCTTACATCACGTAGAAACAATAAGGGTCAAGCAGGAGGAAATGCGTGGAAGAAACAACAACATTGAAGGATAGAAGCACATGGCAGAGGCACGGGAGGGAACGTGGGGGAGGAGGGGGGGAGGGAAGAGGAGGGGAGGGAGAGGGGGCCATCAGCCTTTACTTACTTTGGCATTCACTGTAGTAGTCTTTGCTCCAAGCGACATGGTATGGGTTGCGGTGACACTTGTTCGTGCGAGTGAGCCAATAAGCCCCCTTCCACTCTTCACAGAAGCCATACTCCTCCTCGTGGAACTGCTGCCTCTTGTAGCTATACCTTGATCCATTTGTGACGTGGCAGTCAATGACGCCGTCACAGAACCGCCAGTCTTCCAAGCACTCTACTTCGTTGGGGCACTTCTGGAACCCCGGCTCACACCGCAGCGCCCAGCACCTATCAGGATCTTCATCCGCGCTATAAGAAGCTCCGTAAATGGCTCTTCTGTCATTGTTTCTGCGGTCACCATAATCAACGCAATCGTTTTTCCCATCACACCACTGCTCTATCAAAATGCACCGACGGCCGTATGGGCAGTCCCTCTTTTGGTTGTACATCACACTGTACGATGGGGAGTTGCAATCGAAAGCGGGGCACAATGAAGGGTCTTCATCCGCTGTGTACAGCAGCGCAGGTGAACCTCCTCGTTTCCTTCTCCCTTCTTCCCCGCTTTCCTCCACCACATTTCTTTCGTGCTCCCACCGCAAATCGCTGCATCACCGTTCCTCCTCCGCACCTAGTGCCGCCATCGTGCCGCTGGATTAGGGTAGGTCCGCCGTTGGGTAGGGCAGCGCCGAACCATCTCCAACAACCTCCCCTGTGGTTCGGGGCTGTCAAACCTATCCCCAAGCCTATTACATGCAATCACACCAACTTCACAAAACCCTTATATCTTTATACTTCCCCATGTCTTCCAAGTCTTCTTTTTGCAGGTCTTCGTGCCATGTCCTCCCCTGCAATTCAGCAAGCCGCTAATGCCTCTTCACTCCCCTCTGCCCTTTCTTGGTCGTAGGTATCCCCAACTTCTGTTTCTTGCCCTTCTTCTTCCTCATGCCTTTCCCACTCATCTTGGCACTACTCCCCTGCACCTCCTTGCTTTTTGCCTCTTGCTCAATCAGCCCCACTTGCTGTCCCTTCAAGAATATCTCGCCATGCTCATCTTCTCCTTCGATCTCCACATGCTCCACGCATTCCACCTTTACTGCTGCTGCCCTGTTTTCACCATTTTCCTTGCTGCCCTTCTCTTCTTCAGCTCCATCTCCTATCTCTGGTTCCTCTACCACTCTATTCTCTTCTTCTTGCTGCAATTCTGCTGCCCAATCTGTTGCCTTTGGCTTCTCCTCCCAATCTGCTCCCACAGCTTCATGCTTCACTTTCACGTCCTCATTCATGCTCGCTGCTGTATCTCCAACCTCCCATGCCTCTGCAAATTCAGCTCCTGACCCATTAATCTCATGACTCATCTCATTTCCCTTACTCCCCTTACTCCGATCAAGGCTAGGAGCAGAAAATCTGTTGTTTTCCAACAAGCGCTGTTTTTTAAAATTAAATCAACATCTAAAAGCGCTGGAACTGGACATATCAAGCTTTTGTAACATCACAGCTTCATCGCTCACGACTTCATCGCTAATCATATGGCCCACCTACACCCCCATCACCATCAGCGGTGTGTCAGGGCCCGCGTTCTGTTTCCGCGCCAATCAGCACCGCCCGTAGGTTCCTCCTTCAGCGGTTCGGCTTTGCAACCACACAGCGCAAATCATATAGCTCGGAGGAGTTCCGACTGGCGGTTCGTTGAGGGGTGTTCGGTATGGGTAAGGCGTGTATAAAGAACCTCGAGATATCCTGTGTCTTGATCATTTCCCAGCCGCACCTGGGTGATGTTACCATTTGCTCGATTGCTAATACCACGTTGCAGGGACTTTTACTTCCATCCTCTCAGCTAAGTGCTCGTGTTTTGGAACTCGTTCCCTGGCGTGACAGGATGTCCGAGTTTGTTGGGTTAGCTAGCAGCCACGATCCAACGAATACTTCATTAGACTTTCCCGCGTTTCCCCCATCACCATCCCTTTCACCATCAACAGCGCCCCTCATCCTGTAATAGAGTGCTGTTCAACGTGTATTCTGCAGCGTTTAGACTCCGCCGCGGTACTAATTCCGACCGTTGAGCGAGTCCCGGGAAACCCGCAAGGCATCTAGTATCCTTCCGCGTACTCGCGACGAGCAAACAGGTAAAGTACAGCGCATCAGAAACAGAAGCATGGAAAACCGTGACAGCAGTAGCGTGCGGCTGTCGTTGCGACACGGAGCGGCAGTTGCGGAGGTCCAAAAGCACCTCGAGTCGTTCTTCGCCAATCTCGATGCTTCTCTCGCCCGCCCAGTAGGATCCGCGTTAACCGCAGCGCGCCCGAACACTCCCGAGCCGTTAACTCCCGCCACTTGTCAGACTGAGGCCGCTCCAATGACGAGCGACACGCCTTCTGCTGCCTGCGAAAGAGGTAGCCTTCGCAGCGGCGTCTCTAGTGTCGCGTGCGTCGTCAACGTCGCACAGTCTGAGGCTGGCGGAACCTTTGTGGACGTGGGGATGCGGAGAGTAAAGGCGGAAGCGGAACTGCGCTCGGCTGCGGAGTTACGTCTACAGACGACCGTGGAGCTGCGCGCTTCTGAGTTGCGCAGAGGCGCTGGTTTGCGCATAGCCGCCACGGAAACCGCGCACCGCACCGCGCTGGCGGCGGAGTTGCGCTGCCCGCGCTTGTCGGAGCTGTACGAGGTTGGCCGCGAGCTGGGGAGCGGACACTTCGGAGTCGTGCGGCTGTGCGAGGACCGTGCGACGGGCGAGCAATTCGCGTGCAAGACGATAATGCTGAGCGACGTGCGGGTGAGTCGCACGATGAATCCACGTCATTCCGCTTTCCCCCCACCACCCCCCACCCCCCTTCCCCCCCCCCCCCCGCCCTGCTCCCTCCTCCGATAGATCCCTCTTTCCCCTCCGCCTTACTCCCTCTCCGCCTTACTCCCTCTGCTCCATTTCTCCCTTCCGCCATCCCCACCTCACAGCAAACGCCCCTCCCTTTCCTCTCCCCTCCTTCCCAAACTCCCACCCTCACCTCCTTGCTCCCTCCTCGTCCCCCTTTCCTGCCAACAATCCCCCGCTGTGCTGCTCGCGGAAGTTTCGTCGCTGCTGCCTTCTGAGGTGCCTCACAACCCCCCCACCCCCTTCCCAACACCCACTCCCCTCCTTCCCCCCACCACCCCCACCCCCCAACCACCTCTTGAAGCTTCGGGCGGGAGTTCACGCGCTGACGCCTTTCGCATAGACTCTCAGAACTCCGCCCCCCTTCCCCCCACCCCCCACTCCCTTCCGCTCCCTCCCGCTCCCTCTCCCTTCCCCAGCGCCGCAACGATCTCATGGAGCTAAAGGCGGAAGTTTTCTCGCTGCTGCGCCTACAGGAGGGGGGAGGGGGACGACTGAGGGGAGCGGGGGAAGCGGGGGGAACGGGGGGAAAGGGAAGGTTCGAGGGAGCTGGGAAAGCGGGAGGAAGGGGGGAATGCGGAGCAGACGATGCAGAGGGGGACGGGGCGGACCTGGCATTCGTACGGTTGTACGAGGTGTTAGTTGAACCGCGTATAGCGTTACATCTCATCCTGGAGTACTGCTCTGGAGGCGATCTGTTTGACCTCGTTATAAGGCAGAAACGGCTTACAGAAGCACAAGCCGCTGCCGTGTTCAGGTATGTACTCCCGCTTTCCCCCCTTCACCTTCCCCGCTTTGCCCCCCCCTCTTTCCTTGCCCCCCCCGTCCCCTTCCCCCGTTCACTCGTGTGCACATATTTCCGCTGATGCCCGCTTGGCATGCAGTCGGTTGCTCCTAACAGTTGCTCTTAACAGCTGCTCCTAGTTGAGATGAGTGCGTTACTTCCAAAGGGTGTAGTGCACCTAAGGATCTCAAGCCATAAATGCATATTCGGTAGTAGGATGATTGTGTAGCGTTTGTCTACTACTTTTTTGCGCCTCGCCCCTTCTTCCCAATGTTTCCCCCTTAGAGGCACTGCTCCTGGCAGTGCACGCGATGCACCAGTAGGGAATAGTGCCCCCAGATTTATGGCCGGAAATTATACTCGTTAGAAGGGGTTGCAGTATTCACTACCTACCGCTCAGTTGTGCCTTCCCCCGTCTGTTTCTTCTGATGCTTCCCAATGCTTTTCCCTCCAGACAGCTACTCCTGGCAGTGCACGCCATGCACCAAAAGGGCATCGTGCACAGGGATCTAAAGCCAGAGAACATACTCGTTAGTAGAGTATTCAGTACCTGTACAGGCCTTTGCACTGCAGCTGAGTGCAGTTGCGGCAAAATCGGAGGCACTAGCAGCAGTGGAAGCAGCAGCATTAGCCAGGGATGTTCCTGTAGTAACGAGGCTTTTGATATAGGCACATCTAGTGATACAAGCTGCACTGGGGCCACGCCTCCCTCCCCACTCCCACTCACAGCTTCCATGGTTCCAGTTTCCTCTTCTGCTAGACATACCAGCAGCTGCAATAGCAGCAACAACAGCAAAGGCAGCAGCATCAGCACCCCTCCCTTCCAATCTTCCTCCTTCCCCTCTCTCCCTCCATCGTCGCCCTTCCAGCTTTCACGTGCCTCTCTTCTGCCATCTCCCTCTCTCATCTCCCCTCTCGCGTCCCCCTCCTCTTTCCCCTCCCTCTCCCCTGCTTTCCCCCCTCATTCTCCCACCTCTCTTCCTCCACTCATACCGGATGTGCCTCTTCTTCCTCCTCTCCCTCCTCTCTCTTCGAGACCGCCTCCCACTCACGCCACTACTGCAACCGGAATAACTTCCTGCCCCTGCACGGGCATTCAAGTCAAGATAGCTGACTTCGGCCTGGCAGCAGCGTTTTCTCCCGGGCAGACAGCAGCTTGTGGGGTGGTGGGCTCGCCCTTCTACATGGCGCCTGAGATCATCCGGGGGAGGCCGTATGCAGGGGAGGTGGACATGTGGAGCCTTGGGTGTGTTCTCTACACCTGCTTGTCTGGTATGTTTTCTCATAGAGACTGGTAGGAGCCTGTAAGATCATCAGGCCGTATGCAGGGGAGGTGGACATGTAGAGCCTGGGATGCGTTTTGTACACGTGCTTGTCAGGTACGCTGCAGTTTAGACCCCTTAATATGTGGCTATTTTGTTGTTTTAGCCTGGTAACTGGTCCTTTTCACCACCCAAGAAACGTGCTCTTCATGCGAGGATAAGAGCTAGTGAATTCGGGGTATGAGCCTTTTTTTTTTTAGCCAGTGACACTGTGAAGTGTTTCAGCTACCTTTTTTAGCCAGATATTGACGTCTGGCTCTTTCTGGTTCTTTTGATATTCCCTCCCTTCGGTTCCACCCCTACTCCCCAGGTTCGGTGCCTTATCACGGGAGAACGCACCGTGAGGTCTTTGCTTCGGTGTTAGGCTCGGCACCAGACTTCAAAGGCCAGGTCTGGGAGGGCATTTCAAGGGAGGCTAAGCAGCTGTTAAGGTGTCTGCTTGTAACGGATCCTGGGAGGAGGCTCAAGGCACATGAGGTGCTGAAACACCCGTGGGTTAGAGGGGCGTGCGGGGGTGAGTGCTGGGGAAGAGAGGAGGACCGGGGGAAGGAGACGAAGAAGGCTCGAGAAGATGAAGGGATGCCAGAAGGGGGTTGGAAAAATAAGAATGACTCCAAGAGTGAGAAGTGTGCTGCAGCAGAGGGCAAGGTGTGTGCTGAAGTTATGGTGTGCGCGGAAAGGGGTCCAGAGGAGGCCGTGAGTGGGCAGCATGAGGCTGGGTGTGAGGTGTGCTGTACAGGTCATCAGATAAGGAGGTGTGATACGAGCTGTACGAGCAACGATGCGGATGCTGCTGGCGCGTTAAGTGCGGTGGGCTCGTTGGGCGACAGCGAGAGCAGCTTTGAGAAAGCATTGGAATTGGGGCATGTGAGTGGCATGACAACCACCCAGTGGAGTGGGAGTAGGAGAAGCAAGAAGACAACCATCAGAGATGTTATTGCTGCCGAGACTGGGGCCGTTTCAAGCAAGGAGGCGTGCTTTTTTGTGTCAAGGTATTTCCAGGCTGGAGGAACAAGCGATGTGGCTGGAGAGACGGGCACTGTTGATTGTGGCCGTAGTAGCAGTACAAACGGTGGGGTTAGCGGCGGTGATAGTAGTGGTAGTGACGTTACTTGTAGTGACAGTAGCAGCGGTGGCAGTAGCAGCGGTGACAGTAGCAGTGGTGACAATACGAGTGTTGTCACGAGCACCAGTGAAACTAGCAGTGGTGACAGCAGCAGTGGCTGCAACAGCGGTGACAGTAGCACTAATGGCTGCAGCAGTGCTGGTATAAACGGACGTGACAGTACATACCCAAGTGCCAGGTGTACCACCATTGACGTCTCTCAGAAGAGTACCTGCACCAGCAGCACCAGAAGCGGGAATACCAGCTGCAGCTGCTGCATCGAGGTAACAAGACTGGATAAACGCAGAAGCAGTTGCATCACTACTAGCAGCAGTATCTGTTCAGGCAGCAGCAGGAGCAGCAGCAGCAGCTGTAGCTCCAGGGCCCAGCACAGCGCCACATTACAGCACGGTGGGAAGTGGAAAGGAAGGAAAGGCTTACTGGATGTTCAGGAGAGCAGCAGGAGGGGTCTGCTCTCAGCAGCAGCAGGAAATGCTGGGTCATCGTTACAAGTGACTGAAAAGCCAGCAGTAATCATGGAACCTGCAGCAGCAGCAGCAACAACGACAATGGCAGCAGCAGCAGCAGCGCGATCAACAGGGGTAGCAACGAGTTGTGGAGTATTGGCGTCTGCATCCACGGAAACGTCTGCAACAACCAATACACCATTTGGCATCGTTGTGACTGCTCTCATTTCTACTCCTGCGAACAGTCGTCAGGCTGGTGCAGTTGCTGTGACTGCAGTCTCTTCCAAGAAAAGTCCGCCTGTGCTGGATGCCTGTTCCATCTCGGACACACAAAACCAAGGTGCTACCATGGTTGTAGTTTTGATGCGGGATCATCATGCGCCATGGGCCCAAGCAGGTAACAGGGCCCAAGCAGATAACTTGCGGCTTGGCATACTCACAAGTTACTCCGCTCCGCTCTGTGTTGGCGGTTCTTATAGGCTGTTGCCATGGGCCAGCCCGTGGCTCCACATAGAGGTATGCGGTACTTTTGTGCCTTCCCCTGCTTGCCCTATTGGAATTGGTTGAGTAGCTTATGGCATGGCAGCCTTTTCTTGTATTGACTTTGTTTGAGAATTGGTTGTCCTATAGACTCAATAAATGCACGAACTTCGCCTTGTGAAATGGGATGGTGTAATCGTTGGCAGCTTGGTCAGTCAAAGCTGTTTTCTCTCTAGTCATCCTTTGTCTCAGTCAAAACCACAAAGCTCGTAAACATGTAAATTTGTATTTCGCTTGCTCAATCCCTTCCTGTCAACATATAATTGTATATGTTATAGGCTAGATAGGTGCATGCTCATAGAGAGTACAACACGTTAGGTTACAACACGTTAGGTCTCACTCTAATCAATTCATTACTCTGAGATGGTATCACACGCTAGGTTAGGTCCTCCCCGCCCACCCGCGCTTCCGCCCTAGTCCTAGTCCTAACCGCCCGTTTCTAGCCGCCCGTTTCCAGCCGCCCGTTTCTAGCCGCCCGTTTCTAGCCGCCCGTTCCTAGCCGCTAGTCGCTAGCCTGTACGCACCAGCCGCCCGTCGCCAGCCCCGCGCCCGCCAGTCCCGTCGCTCGCTGGCCCCGCGCTCGCCGGCCCTGCGCCTGCCACCCCTGTCGCTCGCTGGCCCCGCGCTCGCCAGCCCCGCGCCTGCCGGCCTGTCGCTCGCCGGCCCTGCGCTCGCCGGCCCCGCGCTCGCCAGCCCCGTTGCTCGCTGGCCCGTAGCTCGCTGCCCCCGCGCGCGCCAGCCCTGCACCTGCTGGCCCGTCGCTCGCCAGCCCGCGCCCGCTGGCCCCGATTTCGCGAGCCCCGTGCCCGCTGGCCCTGCATTCGCCAGCCCCACGCCCACTGGCCCCGCATTCACCAGCCCATCACCGCCGGCACCGTGTCCCGCTGGCCCCCGCGCACGCTGGCCCCGCGCTCGCCAGCCCCGCGCTTGCTGGCCCCGCACCCTCTGGCTCCGCACTTGCCAGCCCTGCGCCCGCTGGCCCCGAGTTCGCCGGCCCCTCGGTCGCCAGCCCCGCGCCCGCTAGCTGTCGTGCCGCCGAGCCGCCGCTCTGCCGATCCGCAGTGTCGTCGTGACGCCGTGCCCCCATGCTGCTGAGCCGCCGTGCCGCAGTGCCGCCGTGACGCCGTGCCGCCGTGCCGCAGACCCGCCGTGCTGCAGTGCCGCAGACCTGCCGTGCCGCAGTGCTGCCGTGATGCCTTGCCGCCGTGCCGCTGCGCCGCAGTGCAGCCCCGCCCTGCCGGCCTTGGCTCCCCTCTGAGCTGGCTCTCCCGCCGGCAGTCTCCACTGCTCTCCACTGCACGTCACCGCTCTCCATTGCACTCTACCGCACTCCACCGCACTGGAAAACAAAGCAAGCTTACGAGACCTAAAACATAGATCCACCAAGCTGTCCATCTCGTCCTGGAAAACAAAGCAAGCTTATGAAACCTAAAACAGACTTCCCCCCACCAAGCTGTGCATCTCGTCCTGGAAAACAAAGCAAGCTTACGAGACCTAAAACAGAGATCCACATCAGCACAGATCAGGATCCACTACACTCCCTCTCCGTCTGCAATTCTTTCTATGTATGCATGCACATGCCAGCAGTGTACTAGGACTAACAATGTTTTTTAGAGGATTATATAAGATAATGGAACACATTATAGCTGCAGCACATACGTGTCAAAATTGCTGCGTGCGCGTGGTTTTCTAACTGCCAGATCAGCACACCCAGAACACTGGTACAACTCCCATTGGCTCTGCTGGAATTGCCATGTCTGTTGAGTGACCCGCTAAGGTTGCCCTTGAGATCCTCGGGGAAGGGCCACAGGTGCAGAGCCTGGGGGGCTATGGGCGCACTTACCCGCTATTCAACAAGCCCTTTTAACCCAGTGGTTAGTGACTGGGTTTCTGACATGGTATCAGAGCCAAAGGTCTTGGGTTCAACCCCCAGTGCCAGCGCTGCAGAGGCGCTTGTGTCTTCCACCTATCCCAGTGGGGGGGGGGGTGTTGAGTGACCCGCTGGGGCCTTGAGATCCTCGGGGAAGGGCCACAGGTGCAGAGCCTGGGGGGCTATGGGCGCACTTACCCGCTATTCAACAAGCCCTTTTAACCCAGTGGTTAGTGACTGGGTTTCTGACAATGTCATCCAGTTTTCATTGTCTGCTAAAGGTAAGACCACAAAGACTCTGCCAAGCAAGCTAAGGAGCTTGGAGTTAACCCCTTGACCAAGCCTGAAAGTTTGAAGCTCCGCACAGCGCACGCCACCAGCAGCCAATTTGAGTCGTCGTAATCCACGACATTGCGTGATGGGACATTGGCACTGAGAAATTTGACTGTCTGCGCTGGCGTCGCAAAATCCACAACATCGCGTGACGGGACTCAGCAATGGGGTTTTAACCTTTGCACTAAAATCAGTGGGGCAAAAAATTGCTTCTGCCGTCAGATGAGTTGGCACGTTTTGATAAGTTGCAAATTTACCGAAGCAGTCGAACCTCGACGTCGAGCCATGTACCAGACCATCACGCGAAACATCCATCACCGAGTTTAGGGTTTACCCAACCAAAACGGCACGCGGGCCCCTATCGGTTTTATTTTTATTTGTCCCGGGCAGCCTACTTGCTTACTTTTGCGCCCGTAGCTAATTCAATATGGGATGATTGGTTTCGTCTATGTGCCATTTTGGTTCCAAACCTCAAAATCTCCTCCAAATCAGCACTCACACGTGCTTGACGGCAAAAGAAAATAATTTCCCTGCTGATTTGACTGTAGAAGCTAAGACCCCCTCAGCCACCCTTTTCGAGAGCCACATTGGGATTTCTGCGAGGGCTGATTGAACAATCGCTGTCGAACTATAATCCAGCGAAAATAAACGTGTCGCCAATCTTCAATGCCACGCGAAAAACGGCCCACCATCACAAGCATTTTCCGACAATAGTTCGTCTCGGTACACGTTTTCTTCGTTTGTATTCTACCAGGCTCTCAGCATGGTTTCGCGTTGACACTTGTTGGGCTGAGAAAAAGCCTTAGGACATTTTCAGAGACTAAGTCCCACTTGTACAAAACGCTTGAGTAGTGCAGCGGAAGTGTTGAGTAGTTGAACCCTTGCACTAGTAAGTGAGAGCAAGTGATTGATCAAAAGAAACAAGCATACAGCAATATATATAAAATAAGAATTGAAGCAATTGTAGAATACAGTTGAAGGAACAGTTATCGAGTCGCACAGCGACTCGATTGTCGGTTCGGTTACCACCCTTGTAGTCGCAACGGTCAATCGCAACCTCCGATTGCGACCCTTCGAGTCCCTTCGCCCTTTCGTATTCTTTTGTCCAACCTCCTCGTGTGACCTCTGTTGACTCGCGTACCCGATACGACTTTCCTCGAGTGTAGTGTTACACTTCAGAAATGCTTAAGTCTTCGAGGTATTTCCAACACTCCCCTTCGTTTCTGGAGTGCTGACATGTCCGGGTTCGGTGACGTTTATCTGCCCGGTCAGCAGCATGCAGTAATCGAACTTTGCCTTCGCCAATTTCTTCGTTAGGTAATCTGCAGCCATTTCTGTCGTGGGGCAGTAACTGAGTTGAAGTCTCCCTTTCGTGATCTCATCCTTGACGAAGAAATACCGCAGGGCGATGTGCTTGGTTCGATTGGCGAACCCGTTTTTGTTCGCGATTTTGATCGCGGATTGATTGTCTCAGAATAACGAGAAGGCGGGCATGGTCGCAATTTTCGCTTCCTCGAGCAGCCCCTGCAGGTAAAGTCCCTCTTTGGTTGCAGTGCAGAGAGCTATGTATTCCGCTTCAGCCGAAGACAGCGTGATTAATTCCTGCTTGCTCGATTGCCAGGAAATAGTCCCGATAGGCTCTAGTCGGTAGATGTACCCCGTTCTGGAACGCCGATTCTCCTTGTCTCCCGCGTGGTCGGCGTCGAGATAGCTGAGTAGTTGTACAGACGACGGTGTTACCTTGCTGTAGGTGAGTCCGACTGTCGGCATAGCGACGAAGTAGAGCAGTGCCCGATTCAGCTCCTCGAGGTGCTCTTGCTCCGGCTGCTTCAGATGTGTCACCAGTTGACTAGCACTATAGGACAGATCCGGTCGGCAGGTTACTGCTGCGAACAGGAGAAAGCCGAGCTTCTGTTGGTATTTCTGGATCTGCTTCGTGGGGAGCTTTGCAGAGGTGTCGCTGTTGTCGTTCCCGTAGCAATAGGGAGTCGCGAGTGCGACCTATGTTAGTCCGAATTTCTTCGCGACGACGCCTGCATACTTTCCGGCGTCTAGGTAGAACGCCGAATCGTCCTCGACGACGTTCAGGCCTAGGTACTGGGTGACGGTGTCTAACACGGTGAGTGTTAAATCACTCCTCAACTCCCCTTTGAACCAGGTGACGGCGTCGGTAGTGGAGCCGACGTAGAGCAGGTCATCGACGTAGACGATGAGTAGGACAAAATCCCCCCCCTTCTGTAGTCGGTACATCCCTTAGTCGTGCGGCAGCTGCAGAAAACCGATCCTGACGAGGCGGCCGTGAAGGTGCTACTGCCAAAGCCGCGGGGCTTGATTGATTCCGTAGAGAGAATTTATCAGCTGGCACACTTTTGTAGGATCGTCGATGAAGCCGTGGGGCTGCTCGACGAAGATCTCAGCGTCCACAGGTGCGTACAAGAAAGCGTTGGCGACGTCGATCTGCCGCAGTGGTAACTTTTTTGTGGCCGCGACGGCGAGCAGAATGCGCAGGGAGGTATGTCGGGAGACTGGGGCGAATGTCTCCGTGTAGTCAATTCCGTATCGCTAATCGAATCCACGTACAACCCAGCGAGCCTTGAAGCGGTCGATGGAGCCATCCGCATTAGTCTTGATTCGGTACACCCACTTCCCCGAGAGCACATTCTTCCCGTTGGTCTTTGTTGCAGGTACTAGTTTCCACGTGTTTCGGTCTTGCAGGGCCTTCAGTTCTTTTTCCATTGCTTCCTTCCATTTCGCCTTGTGTTCCCCCCCTAGAGCCTGCGATAGAGTCGTTGGCTCGCGCGGCGGGCTCTGGACGGCGACCCATAGTCCAAGTATCTGCAGGCCCGTGGGTGTGTGTCGAGGGGAATTTCCATTCCCGGGATAAGCTGTTTCGTCGCCATCTTCGGGGTCA